CTATCATCTAAACGAAAATTCAAGTCATTTAGTTCAGTTCTAAAATAGTTATTGCATTTTAAAAGGTGTACGAACATTTTAGCGAGTCACTCTATGTGACGAGGAAACCAAATGTTCCCTTGCCATGGAAGTCAAACAGGAACTTCAACGCGTTCGAACATTCGACTTACAACCTCGTCGGTCGACAAGTAATTTTTTGGGATTCCCATGATTAACGATGATGGGTTCGTTCGGCGGCCGGGAGAATATCTAAAGTAGTTTTCGATATCCGGCGAACCGACCGATCGTCGATGCACTGCGATGCATCTAAAATGGTACGAAGGAGAAGGAAACTAGGCTGGGGAAGGTGGAAAGAGAGTAACAGAGAGAAAGAGAGAAAGAAAGAGAGAGAGAGAGAGAGAGCGAAGGGTGTAGAAGTCGAAATCGCAGTAGAAATCTCAGGTGCAGTGGCTGACGAGCAAGAAGGGGTTCATAATCGCTAATTACGTACAAACAGCGTGGATTCTATTTCTCGTGGATCGTGAACGCGTGACTCGGTTCCCGAAACTTTCATCGAGCTAAATCCGGAACAAAGCTGGGTTCACGGATAACGTCGGGGAACTACGATATCTCCGCAGACCCGGGGAACACGTACGCGATTCCGGAAAGTTTCAACACGATTCGCGCGTTCCGCGGCGGAGTATTCCCTCGTTATACCGGAATGTCCCATGATAAACGATAGAGTCGGAAAGAGAAACGTGTCAACGGATGCAAAGTGTGTCTAATGTAAGAGCGTGCAGCGATTTCTATGCACCCGCCCCGGAAAGAAAAAAATATTTGGTCGCCCGTTCCGCGTCGAACCTCCTTCGTTTCAGCTTTCGCGCGCTCGACAATGGTCGACAGAAATTTTCGCTTCGCGCTGGTTGCGAGAAATGCCGAGCAGAAAGTCTTTCCTGGTAATTGAAATATTGCCTTGGAAACTGTGTTAACGATCGCAGTTCGCGAAGAAATAAATGTTCACAGAAAGATCCAGGCTGCGAATCTTTGCGCGAATTTTTACTCTCGCGCAGAACTTTCTGAAAACTAATCATTAATATCGGGCTAACGCTTCGTAAAATCGAAGATTAATTTTTATTCATGCGCACTTTCTTTTCTATTTTTTTATTTTTATGTTGCTTTCACGGATTATAAAATGAAACATAATCGAATGTTGTATGTAAATTTTACTTCGTTCGTGCACGAATTTTCTTTCGATATTTCAGAAAATTTCTGCGTCGAATTACGCAAAGGTTCGCAGTTTTTTTTACGAGCAAGATTATCTATTTTGCTCCGAATTGCTTGAATAGTGTGCGGGACCAAATATTTTTGAGCGACGGTACATCTACAGCAAGCTCTCGGTACAACGAATTAAATTGTACTATATCGAATACGTAAAACATAACTTCAGTTTGTCTCCATTCAATCTAACGATTTCCATTACTGCTTAATCGGAATTTGAAATTCGAGAATGATACAGTATTCCCTCTCGATGCGAACGCTCTTCCGTCATTTTCTTTTGTAAAAAGTCGAACTGACGATTACCGATTGCGAGGACATTTCGTTACGACGTAATTCGCACGACAGACGCGTATTTAATTTTATTTACTTATTTGATTCTTACGTTGAAATGATAACATCGAACTATATAATCGAGGTTGCGAAACATATACCAATTACAAATTTTTCCATCGCACAATTATACAAATTACTGTGAACGAAACTTTTTACAAATATCGCTGTATATTTAAATTCATCGTTCGTCATAAATTCATCAAAATATAAAATACAACACTCTACCCAAATCTTCCACCAATAATAGCTTCGTACTTTCTTCACCGTCAAGTCGAAAGCTTCCTCTCGCCTATTCGGCACAAATATTAGCAAACGAATAGAACACGCTCCGATCACGGAAACCACGTCGTAACAAAGCCTCGTCAAAATCGATGCCGAAAACGTCGTCGTGTTATTTCGGAAAACGCGCGACTGTCGTTGACCCTTTCGCTACTACGGGCCACTATAGTGGCCCTCCATAAGATGCCACTGAGGTACTACGGGCCGCTATAGTGGCCCTCCATAAGATGCATTATATTGCATAATGTTATTTCCTCTCATACTGTAAATTAAAGAGCGCATGCTAAGACGTTATAAATACCCTGGAATACCCTTTATTTGTAAATACCCTTTGGAGAACAATTTTTTCGTTCGTAAACATTCAAGCAGCTTGGGTTCTCCGCCGCGGTACTCCCGCTGACGATCGGCGTCGCGTAGCGTGCAGTGATGTCGCGGCGCTCCGTTCAGCGAAAGTACCGCGGCGGAGAACCCGCCCGTAGCGAAAGGGTTAAACGCACAGCCCGACGACCACCGAACGAATCGGGCGATCGTGCTCGCGCAAGACGGAATACTGTACAAAAGTTGTGCTAAAGATCTTCGTATCTATTCAAACGCTAAAAAAAAAGACGAACGAAGAACGCACATCTACTTCTACGGGAGCAGCAAGAACGTAAGGACGTAAGAAAACTGTCTGCATGTACCGTAAATAAATTGTGGTAACATTTCAACAAATTACAGAGCCGTCGTTTCGGCCGACGCTAACGACGGTTACGACGAGTAGACGAGTAGTAAACATGCGAAAATATTCGATTGATCAATTCCAGGTCACTCGGTATAACGAAAGAACGGCGCGAATCGTTCGCGTCGGCGGACTCTCGGGTGCGCCGAGGCGCCCGAGGTCCGATTGTTTGTTAGCCGTAAATCGTGAGTCGCGACAGCACGATCGACGAGAAATCCACAATGACGTGGAAAGAGTCAGATGCATTGGTCAGAAAACCAGGATATTAAGCGAAACGAAGATCTCGGGATCAAGGACGATCCTGAAATCAGGACGGTCCTACGATCAGGACCAAGGATCTTGACGAGGGTACCTGAGCCACACATGGGCCGGGCTGCTCGCAACTGCATTGCCGTTTGACTCGTTAGCAGGGCTTTCCATCTCGTTCGTTGTTCGCACTTTCCTGATTGGTCAGAGACTGATCAGACTGAAGATCGGCCATGCATGATCCGAGTCGCGATCATGTCCTAATTTTATTTCGGTATTTTTTTTTTTTACTCTCGGCTCTTGAACGTTCGAGATCTCTCTTTCTCGCGTGAAAGCGTTTACCAAAAGCGATCTTGTCCTCACATTTTTCATCGCCCGATTCGTCTAATCGACATTCCGATGCGTACGATACAGGGCGATTCGTTCGATTGTCTCGTCTAGAACAACTTAGCTAATTTTCATGCGGTACAAGTTGCGTTTCGTTGAAACGACTTGAGTTAAAACTTTTGCTGCGATATAAAATAGTAGTATCCTCATAGGACACCGGTGTAATTAACACGAATATTAATCGTAAAACGAGTGTAAAATTAACGTAGATGTTACCGTTGGCAGAAGTCTCTGGATACGTGTTAAGAAAGCCAAAAGAAAGAAAGAAAGAAAGAGAAGTGATTAAATTTAAATTTGATTAAAAATTAAAGAAATAAAATAAGCGTAAATAACATACATGTTAACTAAATTAACATGGATGTTACCGTTGGCAGAAGTCTCTGGATACGTGTTAAGAAAGCCAAAAGAAAGAAAGAAAGAAAGAAGTGATTAAATTTAAATTTTATTAAAAATTATAGAAATAAAATAAGCGTAAATAACATACATGTTAACTAAATTAACATGGATGTTACCGTTGGCAGAAGTCTCTGGATACGTGTTAAGAAAGCCAAAAAAAAGAAAGAAAGAAAGAAAGAAGTGATTAAATTTAAATTTTATTAAAAATTAAAGAAATAAAATAAGCGTAAATAACATACATGTTAACTAAATTAACATGGATGTTACCGTTGGCAGAAGTCGCTGCGTACGTGATAAGAAAGTCAAAAGAAAGTAAGAAAGAAATGATTAAATTTAAATTTAATTAAAAATTAAAGAAATAAAATAAGCGTAAATAACATAGATGTTAACTAAATTAACATAGATGTTACCGTTGGCAGAAATCTTTGCATACGTGTTAAGAAAGCGAAAAGAAAGAAATAAAGAGAAAGAAACGATTAAATTTAAATTTTATTAAGAATTAAAGAAATAAGATAAGCGTATCGGCGTATCGTGATCAAATATTTGCGACAAATATGACGGTGCGTTGTTCACGGAAATCGTAGAACGATGAGAAACACTGTGGCATGAACAACGGATGCGACAGTTTGTACTGACGTGTTACGATCATAGATAAAGTCTTAGGGTTAGGTATAGACAGCGCGGACCGTCAACCTTGTAGAATGCAATTTTATCGAAGTTCGTAGGAGATTACGAAGACTTTTACAGTAATAACTGTGATTGTTGCTTCCTTCTCTAGAATAACAAAGTATTAAGTTCCGACGAGGATGATGGGCTGTTTGTTGTTTGCTCGAAACCTTTAAAGCAACTTGCTTACATAATTTATGCGACGGTCGTACGGGATGGTACGGGAATGGGGTGCGCACTACGTGGAAGAGAGCAGAAGGCATGGAAAAACAATAGAACTTTCAATTCGTTCGCGACAGTCCCGCGTTATTTCGGTACAACTTCAACGACGCATGGGAATGCTGTGCAGAAGGAGGTGGTCGGAAGAAATTTCAGCTATAGAAACTGGTTCGTGTATCTCGATCTGTATGATAAGCAAGTAGTATGACTTCGGTGCATGCGTGAACAGAATTCTTACCAACACACGCGCCGTCTCGATCTTCTGTCTATAGGTACCTACCGCGCGATACCTTTGCTTTATATCGGAAAGCAATTCAATCGGAATAAATGAACCTGACGTGTACCTGATGTAAATTAATGATCAGCTCGACTCGTATCGCAGCGCGATGATCGTGTATATTCTTTGTTTACTGAATGTGAATATTAGTATTATTCTAATGGTTTTTTTCATTTCTTTCAAGCGATGGTAATTCATAATTTATTCATAATTTACCATTGGGAGAAAGATCTTGGAAATCCTTCCTCGTTTAGTTCTCTTAAAACTTTCAACCCACGAACATATTGAGCTATAATAAATCTACACGAATGTTTGAACTTGTCCCGAATCAATAATACACGTAAAATTCATTGAAGGAAATATTTGACAGCTAAAATCGTATAATACGTGTGAAGAAAATTTGTTTTTGGATGTTTTAAAAATTAGTATAAGTACCTCTTTGCACGTTGCACTTATACCGAATGCTTGGAAACGAAATTTCACTATTGTTTTAACACTAGAGCTGCCAAACTAGTCAAAGTGGCTGATTTTTTCTTTTACGGTTAGTGAAATCGCGTAAAAACGTTTCTACGACTAACGTTTCGATAAAATTCTTTATCCGAGCAGTTTGACTAGCTCTTTGCCGGCGTTATAAACAGTCTACGTATCTTTATGCGAAATAAAAATTGTCTATTAATTGCAACATGCGGGAACTACGTAGACATTTGTCTCTTCTCTCGATAATTTGAACGAGTTGACGCACGATATAACGCACGAACGCATAAAATTCACGGTCCAGTTAACACGTTGAATGCCACGGGGGTCACCGGTGACCGGCACTTAACTTGGCGGTGACGTGCACAAATTGATAGAAATATATATAATTTCAAACAAATGTCAATATCTAAAATTTTGTACTATTACCATCTTCGATTCAAACAGTGACCCCTGACGCAATTAACATGTCGAACATGGTTATATATATACACTGCAACTTATAATTAAATTTCATAAAAGAAAATTCATCGTGGCGCCACGGACGATTTCTGTAAAACCGGCGTGTCATTCAACGTGTTAATAAGGCTCGGGGCTCGTCCACTTACAGGCGTCTAGGGCTCGATAGTTCTAGTGTATGAAACAATTGCTGGTAAAAGTGATCAAGATCTTTTGCAACATATTAGAACCCTGTTGGTGAGCGATCAGGGAACATTCGCCGAGTGCAAACGATTAAATTTGCGGAACAGCGTAATCTGTAGCAGAAAATGTTTCCAGCTAATAGGAGCGAATCGATGAAACCCCTCTGCGATTACAAGTGCCTCTAGCTGCAGCTCGGAATCCGAGAACGGCGCGGGCCCGCGTATCTCCGGCTCCGATCTTTGATTTCAATTCGGCGAAAAGCTCCGCGGGAACAATTCGATCGCGTGGCTCGCAATTTTTCACTTAAGAGCCCGTCTTATCCGTCCGGCGATGACGCGATTAAACATTCTGTTTCGGCCGCGCGATAGTCGATCTCGTTTTTCCATCGCCGTGATCGCGTCCTCCCGGAACATGTCGATACTATCCACGATAAACAGCTCCTCCCGTTCCGCTCGATCGTATCGCTCTCCTCTCTCTCTCTCTCTCTCTCTCTCTCTCTCGCTCTCTATCTGTCTCTCTTTATCTCTATCTCTCTCCTCTGTCTAGTTTCTGATACTTATTTCTTTCGCCTTTGTGCGCCCAAAACGCCTGGGAACCGGGGAAACGCGGCCAGGTCGATCTCTAGCTGCGGGAAAGGATAGGTGGAGAAAGAGAAGCGCAGGAGAAGAGCAGAAGGAGAGCAAGGGAAGAATTAGACGTTTCTCGAGAGCAAGGAAAAAGGAAAGACGAGCACAGGCCGGCACGGCGAAGGAGCAAAAAGAAGCAAACGGAAGGACGGGGAGAGGAATGAAAGTGGTAGGGGTCGCTGCTTGGTTCTTTCGCGAGAAGAGATCTTATCCTGCAAGGCGGCCGAGGGGCACGGAGAAGGGACCGGTGAAGAGAGCCTCGATACGGTCCTGCATGCCCCGAATAAGTGAATTGGGATTCACGACGGCGAGAGCCGACTGACCGAGAGCCACTGAGAAATAACTTTGCATAAGCGACTTTTGGTTTGACGGGTTTCGCCTATTGTTGGGAACCGGTCGCTGCTGAGATAAGGGATCTACTACGAGCAATGCCGGAACCGAATTGCCAGGGTGGCAGAAAGAAATTTTAGGTCCTCCGAGGCACCTGGTGAATCGTTACTGGGTCAACGTTGGGGTAAAGCTTTTTACATCATAATTCTCGATCAAAAACGCTTTTATTTAAAGTGGACGCGCTGTGAAATATGTGTTCTTTCGCGATCCATTGGAAAGTGCAGGAAAAAGGATTTCGCTTTTTCGTAATAAAGGAAAAACCAAAATTATGCAGCCATAGATTTGGAAAATGGGTTCTTAACACGTTCCGTGCCACGTGTACCATCGATGGTACACGCTTGCATGTTTACTTAGTGAACTGAACAAATTGTTTACAAGAAATTTAGAACCGAAGAATCAATTTCCACCGCAAGAATGGGCGTTGATAAGTTTTTGTTACGTTGTTATGTGTACGAGCATTAATAATTGCACGTAATACATCAAGTTTTAGTAAAATATCAAAGTGTGAAGATTCGAGTAAAAAAAGCTCGGCACGGAACGTGTTAACCGTTTGAGTCCCGGGGGTTATTCAAAAAACACGGTCGAAAAATGGCGAGCAGCGTGATAGCGCTTGTCTTAATTGATTGCGAAGAGAACCAAGCGGCGCGATAGCGCTCGTCAAGATTGGCAAACAAAACGAAAAGGAGAAAAATGGAAAAAGCAACTATGCGATGTGCGTGCGTCATTAAAGTTTGATCGCGACGCGAGATCTGAACAGCGCGATCGCGCTGCTTGGGACTCAAACGGTTAATATGAGACCCAGTTTGGCTTTCTCGAGAAATTGTTCTTTTCTATCTTTTATCGCATATCGGGCGTGTCAAATTTGTTTCTTCAACGCCAGTCTTCGTGGTAACATTTTATATACACCGCTCAAAAACGTTATAGCGTAGAAAAATTTCGGAGAACAATTGGCCAACTACGACTGACGTTAACTCCGCGAGAAATCCATGAAAAATACAAAGCAAGAGCGATTCTGAACAAGAAGTAGAAGCAGAAAGTTATGAACAGACACGTTTCCCGATACTTTTCCAACAACGTGCGAGTTTGAAAATGTTCAAGCTGCGTTTTCTCTTGAGAACG